CTATGGGTCATGTGCCCGGCCTGCTATGGGGCTCACAGGGGCGTGTTTCCCTTGAGCTATGGGGCCTGAGCCCGGTCAGCAATGGGTCATTTTCCTGGTGAGCTATGGGGCTTGAGCCCGGTGAGATATGGGGCTCACAGGGGCAAAAGCCCGGTCAGCTATGTGGCATGTTCCCGGTGAGTTTTGGAGCCTACTGGGGCATGAGCCCGGTGAGTTTTGGGGCTCACAGGGGCCAAAGCCCGGTCAGCTCTGGGTCATGTTCCCGGTGAGTTTTGGAGCCTACTGTACTGGGGCATGAGCCCGGTGAGTTTTGGGGCTCACAGGGGCTTAAATCTGGTCAGCTCTGGGTCATGTTCCCGGCGAGTTTTGGAGCCAACTGGGGCGTGAGCCCGGTGAGTTTTAGGGCTCACTGGGTCATATTCCTGGTGATTTCTGGTGCACACTGGGGCCTGAACCCGGTCAGCTCTGGGGCATGAGCCCGGTGAGTTTTGGGGCCTACTGGGGTATAAATCTGGTCAGCTCTGGGGCTAGAGCCCGGTGAGTTTTGGGGTTCACTGGGTCATGTTCCTGGTTAGCTCTGGGTCATGTTCCCGGTGAGCCACTTAAAGTTTCTAAAAGTGCCAGGCATCCACATTTAGGCCGAGTTCTTATTGTGCCCCACGCGTTCAAATTTAGGAATACTTGCATTTAAAACCGGCACGTTTGCTTTGCTGGATCCATTTGAGGTTTTCTGAATTGCAGTGGAAGAGTTGCAGCAGATATGGGGAGTCAATGGGTGGGGTTATAGCAGGTTTGGGCTTTATATGCAGGTATTCCCATACTCTAAATTTTAAACAGTCCTATGGTTAATTTACCTCTAATGGAACAATAATCCTGGCAGGTGACACGGTCAACATTAGAGTCCGTACCAACAAATGTGTCAAAATGCAAGAACATTCGGTGTTTATATGCAGGGATTCCCATACTTTAAGTTTTAAACAGTCCTATGGTTAATTTAACTCTAATGGAAAATAATCCTGGCTGGTGGCATGGAATTTTGTGATTTTGTGTTGTTTGGTCTTCCTTCCTCAGGACGACAGATGTAGACTAGCAACTATGCTAGAATCTGGCTCATTTACAATCTGTATGAGATTGTTCTTTAATGTGCACTGTCCTGATTAAATAAATAAATAAACAAACATCAGAGTCCGTACCAACAAACGTGTCAAAATGCAAGAACATTCAAACCTGGACTAAAACCATCTAGTCTGTATTTTTTGCAGCAACTAAAATCTGATGCCTGAGACCTTTGTTCTGGTCAGATGGAGGCCATGGAGGTGGACTTCCCCGTGGAGGGAGGCGGTGGTGGGCGGCTGGAGGAGGTAGTTCCGGTGGCGGGTCCAGCCGGAGATCCCTCCCGCCCGCAGGGTTTCTCAGACTCCGGCAGCAGCACCGAGGTGGACGAGGACGAAAACGAAAACGACGAGGGGCCTCTCCGGCTCCCGGCCACGTGGGCGTTCAGCCAGAGGGTGGTGGACAGAGCCTCAGCTCCACCTTCGGCCGCTCCAGGGACGCACACTCGGAGGAGACTCAGGTATCCATATGTTATAGGGGTGGGACGGTTCACAAAATCCACGGTTCGGTTCGATTCACGGTTTCGTGGTCACGGTTTTCGGTTCGGTTCGGTATATGTTGATTGTTGGGAAAATCTATTATGTCTTGTATAGTCAGGTTAAAACTGAAAGAAAAAAGCAGTCTGACATTTGATACATTATTGTGACAGTCTTAGGTTAAAAGTAGGTGAGATTCTGGCATTGCAAGAGAGGAAACAGTGCTAATTCCAACATGTGCTTTCCTCTAAATGCAAAGTGGTCCCATACAGCAGAACTATAAACTGCTGTTGGCGCGTCTGATTTTTATTATCGGCTACGATGCTTCGCTTCTTCTTGTTTCCTACTGGTGGTTGGCTTTGGGCGCAGTAGCGCCCCCTTCTGCTCTGGAGTGTAAACGCTTCCCTCTGAGAAAAAGGAGCAGCATGAACCGAACGCAACACACACGCGAACCGAACCGAACGGTTCGGACGGTTTTCAGAAACCGTCCCATCCCTAATACGTTAGGTTCAAAACACTCAAATTCGTCAAAAGTGGAAAACCCGAATGAACAACACAGACTCTGAAGTATAAGCTTTTTGCAAAGAGGGAAGAGCTGATGCAGCCTATCGCCAGCACTGCATCCCAAACACTCTTCCACTTTTGCTTTCCCCTTTTATTAAACATAAAACAAGGCATAACACCAAAGACATATCTTATCTTTGGACTTTTTTGCAGAAAGGAGTGTCATATCTCACATCCTCAGTGGAGCTAGCACAGCTACGCGTTGTTCTCCTTTTTTTATGTTCATCCTAAACTTATGACCTTCCCTGAAGTTAGAAAAGATTAAATAGAAAAGTCATGCACATCGTTTGTTAAAGCTTAGCAGGTAAAAATATTTACAGCATTTAAAGGTAAAGGCATTTTTACATACAGTTTTATATTACTCAGGTATCCATACTTGCTCTACATATTTCTCCCCGCGTGTGTGTTTTGCGAATAATATCTTTTTGGGGGGTTTTTTGTCTCTTTTTTTTGGTCGTTGTGTTTTTCTGATATAATTTTGCCTCTCTGTTTTCATTGTGTGTCTCTTCATGGTTCTTTTGTGTCTCTCTTTGGTGTTTTTCTGACTTTTTGTGTCTTTTTGTCTTTTTTTTCTGGTAGTTTTATGTCTGATTAGTAACTTTTGGGGTTTTTTGGGGTCTATATGTATCTTTCTGATACAATTTTCCCTCTTTGTGTTGAATCTTCATGGTCCCTTTGTGTCTTTCTTTGATGGTTTTTGTACTTTTTGTGAGTTTATTGTGTCTTTTTCTGGGAGCATCTGGGAGTGTGTTTGTCCTGTCTGAGATTTTTGAGATTGTCAGTAAAGACGGGGCAAACACACTATGGTTTATGGTTTATATATCCTGATACTTTACTTGCTGTATGATTGTTCATGAACTTGAACATGAAAATGTTGTTAAATATTGTTGTTACTCATTAATATGAAGTTCCTTCTACCGTCGTTTTCCACCTGTTTTCTACCTTAACACGCATAGACTTGTTAATTCCGTCTGACTGAGTGGCTATTTGCATTTATCTCAACAAAGAAATGGTCATCATTTTAACTCATTCGCTGCCAAAGACGTCTATAGACGTCTTTTATGTTTTTCAATGCGAGTGGCTTGGGGAACGATCGGCTAAATTTTTTTCCGTAAATATCGGCTTCCAGACAGAGTATGTACTAACAAATTGACCCTCTAGGTGGCAGTGCCACTTTTGATGGGAGATGAGCATAGATTGTAGGCAAATAAAAACAAACGTAACGGTTCGCTATGAGAGAACATGTCGCCGGTGAGACACAAGTCCAGGAAAAACGGAATAAGGTAGAAAATAATTTTTTTTCCTGATGAAAGAAGAGAGTCTACTCTTTCTTTTGGTGTGTTCGGTGTTTACATAGTCAAAGCACAAACTATTCTGTGGCTCTTGAAAAATCAGTCAAAATGCTCAAAAAACTCTGGCAGTATGGGACTCTGTTCTGAAAATGGCTGGCAGTCAATGAGTTAAGAACGGACATTTAGCCACTGCAAACGGTGTCTATCTGGGGTGCTGAGGCTGTGTTTGTGCTGCAGGCAGGGTCTGCGGGTGCACTACCCCAGCCAGTCTGCAGCCCCCTCCAGAGGCTTCCCAGACTTCCTGCTCCGAGCTCCGGCCGCCGCCGTCCCCGAACCCGAGTCCGGCAGCACCACCGAGGTCAGCGACTCTGAGGACGAGGGGGGGGGGAGAGAGGGGATTCCTGCTGTTGCTCAGCCCACCGAGCCCGTCCCATCTGCCGGTCCTCTGCAGGACCCACCCCCAGAACCACAGGCAGCCACTTCAACCAGTAGGTCTACTCCCCTCTGACCATTTTTCTTTTTTTCCCCCAATATATTTATTGATTTTTTTGCATTGCATAACAATTCAAAATAGAACATTAACACATAACACCCCCCCACACACACAGACCTAGGCTAAACCTGCAAATTCCACCTATATACAACTTAGAAAGAAATATATACATTTGAAATCAAGTACTCCAATGTAATAAGGACCCCGCTTAAAAATATAATGGAAAAACAAATAAATAAAACATAAAAAAATACAGAACAACTTAGGATAAATAAACATTATATCTCAGACTCTATAATGCTCATATATGGTTGCAAGAGATTATGAAACTCTTTCTGATTTCCCTTAGCAGTATATGTTAGACTTTCCAGTCCAAGGCACTTGGAAAGCTCCTCTACCCAATGTTTCGTTGAAGGAGCCTCTACACTTTTCCAATTAAGTGCAATCACCCTCCTGGCTTCTAGAAGTCCAAAGTCCACCAATCTAGTCTTTCTGTGCATTTGTATAAAGTTCAATGGATAGATCCCACATTTTTTCTTTTGAGAAATTGTGGCTTTATAATGAAATATATTGCATTTGAACTGTGAGTTTTCTTTACTTCCTCACCATCAGACTCTGGTTCACCTTCAGATGGCGACAGGACAGAAGTTCAAAATCAGCATAATCAGGTAATTTTGAAAACCTCCTCAGAGTTCAACAATTCCCACAAAGAGCAGCACTAGGAGACACAGGGAAGGAAAAACCTGGCGGCACGAACACTTTGTGTTGCTGTGGCACTGCTGGTCAGGTTCATTATACAATTTTTTTAAACAAATAGAACAAAAAGAACCATTACACTTCTTTAGATTGAGTGGTGACGTATAAAAAAAAAATGCTTGCCACATGGTCACATTTCTGTGTCTCTAAAACAGGAAATGCCAGCAATTTTGATTCAGGGTTTTAAGACTGTAATGCCAAATGTATCATATTTGATACATGCGGTTTCTGAAATGTTTTGCGTCTGACACCTTGTGCATAATTTAATGGAAAAAACTTTGCTCAAAATCTTATCGCACACAATCGGATACACCTGATAACAGGGTGCAGAAGACTACACAAAAAATAATCTTGACTTATCGCGTAGTAATAAATGATTAATATAAAAAATGTATTTCTGTTTTTTCTTTTTACATATTTTGTTAAAAGGGCACATAAGCAATTCAAACAAAAAAGTAAATTTCTGTTTTGTTTTATTCTTGGATCGGGCTTTAAAGGGTTAAGACTGTTAAGCTATTTTTGTTTATGACATTTACACATAATATTCCAGGGGAAAAAAGTGATTTTGTTCATATCTTGCTATAAAATTGAAATAAAAAATTTCACGGAAATAAAATCGAAATATTCTGGTATTCAGCCGCCGCACTCCGAGGACTCGGAGGGCGACGCGTGCAGCATCTGCTTCGAGGCGTGGACGACGGCGGGCGAGCACCGGCTGTCCGCGCTGCGCTGCGGACACCTGTTCGGATTCACCTGCATCCAGCGCTGGCTCAAGGCTCAGGGCTCCGCCGGGAAATGCCCACAGGTCAGTCGGGCTGGTGTTATGGTCAGAAAATCCACTCAGATGGGCCGCAGCTATAGCCTAATGGTTAGAGCGGGCGGCCCATATGCAGAGCCTCTGCTCGCAAGCGGGCGGCCTGGGTTCGAATCCGGCCCATGGCCCTTTCCCTCTCTATCTCTGCCCCCCTTCCTGTCCAGCTACTATCATTAAAGGCCACTAGAGCCAACAAAATCTTTAAAAAAAAAAGAAAAAGAAAAAAAATAAGAAAATCCACTCAGATGTTAGTCATGTTGCTATTTTTAATATAAGGGAATGTAATTTAAAATATAGGAATTTATATATTTAGATTTTTGCTATTTATGGTTCTTGTTTTTAATAAAATAAATGTTTACTTTAAGTTTGGATTAATTTAAGCGTTGTGTAGATTTAGGACTTTTCATTTGTTTGCGTGCGTAAAAGAAGAGGCATCCTCAGAACTGACCCAAGACGGACTTGAGAAGCACGGATATATATCGTTTTTTGACCATGCTCGCTGTGTAATTAGGAAACAAGGACATTGTATTTGAAACCCTTTTTTTGTTAAACCTTTTTTATTAGATAAAGAATTTTTGTTTATGAAGAATCCAGCTTGCTGGCGCTTTACGAATGACACAGATATTGGATCTGCTGCTACAATAGTCGATGTGTGTGTAGCTTTGGGTACTTGTTTGTGTACTTGTTATGAGAACAAACCTTTTGTCTTCAGCTTTGGGTACTTGTAAATTCAAAAAGCGTCTTACACATAGGGCTGGGCGATTCTTCGATTTTATTCTCAATGTAAAATTTCTCTATGATTATAAATGAGACGTTCGATAAGCCGACGCCTTATTACATTTGTAATATTCCAGGGAAAAAAAGTGATTTTGTGCATATCGTGATATAAAATCGAAAATTTTAGGGAAATAAAATCGAAATATAACTTTTTCTCATATCGCCCAGCCCTACTTACACATACAGATCATTGAATCGCCCCATTAGTGCACAGATCAGTTTACATGTTGAGAGTCTTGGTGCCATTTCATGGTTCAGGAGCCTTTAAGTTTTGTGTGTACTTTTATACATTTAACCAGCGCTGGGTAACGGTGTCGTCTGATTTGTCTTTAGAGACTAGTGTTACTCTCTCTGTGAGTCCAGGCTTTATATTTATTGTCTTTATTTTTAGTGCAACAAGAAAGCAAAGCGGACCGACATCGTGCTGCTGTACGCTCCGAAGCTGAGAGCCCTGGACAACTCTGAGCAGGAGAGCCTGAAGAAGTGAGTCCTGTCTCCGTTTCCCCGCCAATGAATGAGCTGTGATCAGCCCACGAGAGGAAACTTAGCCAATTCTTTTAGCCGTTATTTACATTACAAACGTAGCTTTCCTCCCCCCGCGACCCCATCAGGGAATAAGCGGTATTGATAATGGATGGATGGACGGACATAGCTTTCCCAGGAACCACAAACTAAACCTTTTTGTTTCTTTCTGTTGTGAGATTTTCCAATCATGTCTCTGATGTCTGTGTGTAGGTCTCTGGAACAGGAGCAGTCTCTGAGGAGAAAGGCTGAACTGGAGTCGGCCCAGTACAAGCTCAAACTGCAGGTGGTCACTAACCAGTACGGACAGGCACAGCAGGAGCTTCAGGTACCTGTGACACTCGTTTTAAAAATGGTGAACAGGTCAGAGGAACAGTGGAGTTATTAAAGAAGCAGAATGTGGAAGGAACAGGCTTTGTGGGGAACATGTCCCCCTGACCAGAGAGTAAGACTATATTGCCATGAAGCAATTGCCATTTTCTTGCCTGGGAACTTCCTATTGGTGACCTAATCAAAATGGCCGACTTGGATGTGGGTGGAATTGGATATCCATCCGCGTGCGCAAGGGTGGTATCGATACTTTTGCAAATGAGTATCGTATCCGGATACAACGTTTTAGTGTCGATACTTTTGACAACCCTAATCAGGTCACATTAGATTAAAAAAGAGTCTAGAAGTATGTGATGCTCCTAAACGATGTATGGAGTCACCATAAATGACACAGGGATGTATCTCGACTGTAACACTTCCTGTTTGTGTTCAGGAGCTGAAGGCCTTGATGGCTCACACCAGCAGGAGCTGTGTCCCCTCCTCCTCCTCCACTTCCCCCCTCCTCAGTCTGTCTCAGCGGGCCGACGGCTCCAAAAAGGCCGGGTACAGCTTCTCTAAGGCCCTGCTGGTGTCTCAGGCGGGTGGCTGCCGGGTTTTGTCCTACTGTGAACCTCTGAGCTGCCTGCTGGCCTCTCAGCCTTCTCCCCACTCCACACTGGTGCCCGGTGAGACGCCGTCCACGCTATTATTCTGATCATGAAGCTCACTTTTGTCCCTAAAAAAAATATGTATATATGTACAGACATGTATATATGTATATGCCGCTGTTTTATTTATGGAGCCAGTAACAAAAATAATTTGCCTCTGGGATTATTAAAGTATTTCTGATTCTGAGGGTTAGGGTTAGGGTCTAAAAAAAGCCACCTTCTGGGATAAATATGAAACATTTGTGGCTAGACACTTTGTAATCTTGTTGTTACAACCTCTTATTATCCGGTTGACTTTTTTTGTCAGGACCAATCCTGTTTTCTTTTGTGATTTAGCTCAGAAATATTATTGTGAAGGAAAAGGAAAATCCATCAATTGAACATGAGTGAATTATATCCAACCTCATGAGTATTAGATGCTGCCTTTAGCCATTTGGAGTATATGTATATTTTTAGTTTATTAGTTAATATGAATCTGTTTTTCCTTTATCTGACTATCTTTTTAAGAAGAGAATTCCAATGACAGTACATGACAGTAAAATGTGTCCTGGAGATTTTTTTCTCTTTTGGTTCTTTGATGAGAGTACCTGGTTGTTGATTCCTTTAGGGAGAGTCGTATCGCATGTCTGGCGACTGTGGTTTTAGCACCAGTAGGAAATGCAACAATTTCCTTAATCCCATCCAGGATGAATCTCCCATTCCTGTGTTTATCATTGAAATGGTTTGACTTGCCCTTTGTGCCATCCTCACACCTGAGAAGATTCTCCTTTTGATCAATCCACACGGGGACCCTTTCATGTCTCCTGAGAATAAACATAGCCCTGTCCTTTTGGAGATTCTCCATGGGACTTCCTTGAGGACTGAAATGTAAATCAGAATCTCTTTGTTTGTTGCTCATAAGAAATACAGTGGCCTTTTCCTTTCCTTTATCCATACTAAGTTATAAAAGGGGACGTTTACTCTGTGATCTGCGTCCTCGAACGCTCTTGCTTTCGAATAAATCTCTGTATTGGACAAAATCGATCTTCTCTAATAATTAACTAACTTTGCCTCACTCATTTAAAGAACTTTTTCCATAACAATTGTCAGATGTTTTTCTCGGTTTTTTAGACGCGGTGTAACATTTAGATGCCGCCGTCTGTTTTCCAGGTTGTGGGGTGAAGAAGGTGAGCGTGGTGAACATGAAAGCAAGTCAGTACGTTCCCATCCACAGCAAACAGATCCGAGGCCTGAGCTTCAACAGGCAGAACGACAGCCTGCTGCTGTCCGCCGCGCTGGACGGCACCATTAAACTGACCAGGTACAAAGGGGCCACACACCTGGAGACCATTGTTTTTGCCTCAGCACCCAGATCTGGCCCCTGTCCCTAGAAATATTTTCTCAAAAGTTTTTGTGCTCCGCTTTGGGGTAGGTTAATTAAAGAGGGCTAATGGTGTTAATGCAGTGTAACAGTCAAACAATAATGTGGAAAATGGTTCATTAAAGGGGACATATTATGCAAAACCAAGTTTTTAATCATTTGATTCTGTACATTTGGGACTGTGGAGGGGCCTATCAGCAGGCAAAGTGTGAAAAAAAATGACGTAGCCATGTTTTTGTGGGCCGCTTCAGTCTGAATCCAGGAGATAAATCGGGAGGTTTCAGGAGTGGGTAGTTTCTGACGTCATTAGCTCTAGCTCATTATAATATTCCAGCCTTTCACCTGCATGTTGCCCTCCCCCTCAGCTTACTCCCCCATCTGTGGCGGACGTCGTGGTAGCTTGAGCGTTAGCATGGTAGCGTTAGCATGGTAGCGTTAGCATGGTAGCGTTAGCATGGTAGCGTTAGCATGGTAGCGTTAGCGTGCCGACGTGGGCACACCTCCCTGAAGAAGTGGGTGGATTGCCTGTGTCTCATTTGCATTTAAAGAGACAGGCACTCCAAAGCGAGCGCTCTGAACGGGGCTGTTTTGGGTTAGGGTTAGGGTTAGGGTTAGGGTTAGGGTTAGGCAGGGGGACTGAACTGCTATTTGGCTTCATCCTTATGGGATTTTGACCAAAGCTTGTCACAGACATTACATTAGGACACCAGGGAACTAGTTTAACTTGTTGAAATGGGGTATAATATGACTCCTTTAAATAAATGACAGGTTTGCATCTTAGATGTCCCACAGGTTTTTACAAAGCAGTTCATTTAGTCCAAATTGTGAGCAGCCTGGACAAACTGTTTAGCCTCCAGCCCGACGGGCTCTCTGACTCTGACTGAGACGGGTTTTTGTTTGGCAGCCTGCTGACCAACACAGTGGTCCAGACCTACAACGCCGGTAAACCCGTGTGGAGCTGCTGCTGGTGTCTGGACAACAGCAACTACGTGTACGCCGGTCTGAGTAACGGCTCGGTGCTCATCTACGACACCAGAGACACCAGCACACACGTCCAGGAGCTGCAGCCGCTGCGCTCCAGGTAAACACACACACACACTCACATAGACACACACTCACACACACACACACACACACACACACACACACACACACACACA